GGTGATGGAGACCTGGAACTTGAGGGGGAGCGAGAAGTCCGGGAGCGATATCGTATACACCCTCTGGGGGAGCCCACTCTTCTGCTTTCCCCTCTCCCATGCGGCGTTGGTGGATGGGTGGCTTCTGCAGTTAGAGGCCAGCCTGGACCTGGCCAAGCCCCCCCCGGTACTTGCCACATCCATGGCGACACTTGAGAAGCGAAGGGGTTCAGGCCGGTTCCCCCCGCTCCCAGCGCCTGTTGTGGGAGGCCAAACGGCGCTTGGGCCTGCAGCAGCTGAGGTGGGGCCTGGTGCGCCAGGGCTGCTGCCGCCGCCACCGCCCACGTTGGTGCCGCCGGCCATGTTCCCTGCGCCGGCATTGTGGGCTAGTTCAGCAAATTTAAAGGGACGGCCGGGCATGGTGCTGCAGGTTGCACCGGCGCCCTACCCGGCGGCGGCATAAATCCTGGCTGATGCAGAGTCTGGGTTGGAGCCGGGGCCGGGCTTGGCGTCCGGTTTGGCATAGGGGCCTGCGGCGGGCTCGTGGGAGGCTGGACTGGACCCAAGACTGGATCCGGGGCTGGTCCGGGATGCGGGGATGGCTTCCGGGTCGCTCCCTTCCCGCCTGTGACTTTCCCCTTGGCCCCCCCTCTTGGAGCGGACTCACCGTGAGGGCTCGCCGGCCCTGCTGTCTTCCCGTGGCGCCGTTTCTTCCCCGCTTGGCTGGAGACCTCGCCGGATCTTACTGTCTTCTTCCTCTTTTTGGCCGGTGGAGGAGAGCGGGAGCGCGTGCCCCTCCTCTGGGTCCTGTCGTGGCGCGCTTCCCGGCCACTGGTCTTCCCGCAGCCCGACCCCCGGTGCTGCTCCTTGGGGCGCTCCATCGCGGCCATTCTCCTTCCCGGTACCTCGGGAGGCGGTGTGGGCCGATGCTGCTGTCTTCTTTTTTGTTGTCCCGAGGCTCCTTCTCCCGGAGATCTGGAAATCTGCCTCTTGGATTCTTCAGCTCTTCACTTTTAGTTTAAAATGATCTAAAAGCTAATTTGCCCTAGGTAGGCTGGCTTGGAGGGAGCTCCAGTAGTCCTACCGAGCGCAGGGCTATGCAGGAACTGGAGAGGTCAGCCTAGGCCACTCCAATAGGAGCCACGCAACAAAAGAAATTTGCATAGCCTATCGAGCGAGCAGAGGCGTGACCTAACCAGTTCCTGGATGACTTCCCCCCACTGAAGGAGAACCCATTCTCTTACCCCAAGTTCGTACAGAAAGCTTTGTTAAAGGACTCTGTCCAACAATTTTTTTGGACGTCAAAGTGTATAACATCTAGCTGAAAACTAGACAAATAGTATATTTTTGTTTACCTTGGGAAGGATACATTAGAACGTTATCCAAATATGACAGGCATACACTACTGCAAATTTATATACTTAATGACAGAAAGGAGATATGCACAGGCCCTTCTGTTAAAAAGGGTTTGTGCGTACCTTATGTTGTTTCTCCATTCAATGATGCTCCTCTTTCTAAAAAGAGGATTGTAGTACCAGTTATCTGACCAGGGCTCTAGAATATTCGTCAGCTGCTTCTGCACAGGTGCTGAACCCAAACAGAGGACAGCACAAAGGAAAACACCAGAATTTTACTGCTCAGGGACAGTCCTAGACATTTTGGCATTTAAGACAGACAGAGTAAATTAGTTACTTTCTCTCCCCTCAGTTCAATTTATAAAATGCATATGTAAAAGTAACTGATAATTTGTTGCCCTTTACTGCTAGGGCAGGACTAGCCCAGCTGCTGCTGATCTTTCTTTCCCACTAATAATAACTCTCAGAGCTTCACATTAAATATTATTCTTGTTACTGGGTTTCAAAGGATCCTTAACAAGTATATTGGGGTTTCAAGGAGTACTCAGCTGGAAGAAACAACATGCAGCTTCAAATAAGCTTCACTGAGTAGAGCCACCAAAGCTCCCTCTCTCTTATTTGTCACTCTGTCAAGCTGACACTTTGCAGAAAGACAACAACACGGTAATCCGAAATCTCAAAGCAGAATTTTTTAAAAATTACCATCCTGGTCTCTACAGCTTCAAATACTCCACATCACAGTGCTACAAGTATGAACAACAAGAAAGTATTTTCTTGTCCTGAAAACCACTATGTAACACAAGAGGAAAAAAGAGGCAGGAAGGAAACCAGACACAGGGAGATGGATAGGACTTTAGATGACAAAATCATAAAGAACATGCCACTGTCTAGCTCCTCAGTTCATGTATCCTACGAATCATTCAATTAAATGGAAATGCCTTGAACTAGTTTCTCTCCACTCACTACCTTAAAGCTCCTTCTTGTACAGGGAGCGGTGGCGCAGGGGATTTTCCCCTGCTTAACAATAACATCTGAACTGGCCCCGTGCTGGTGTGAGCAACCAAGCCTTGTCCTAGCTCATCGTCTACCCAGCGATTCAAAAGCTTCGGCGAGTAGATAAATTGGGGACCACCCGTAAGGGGGTGGGCACACCTCTCCCTTCGGGAAGGTGTTAGCTGCCGAGGCAACTTCTGAGGCGCGGCGACCGGAAAGACGAAAGAGCTGTGTCGGCTTCCCTGCAGTGGAGCGAGTCGGCCAGAAGATGGCAGTGTGTGGCTGTACAACATCAAGAAGCCAGACGTCATCAGCCATCCGACAAGATGCCATAGGAACACGACTGACCCAGCCCACAGATGAAGCCCGGCTAGCTGCAATGTGTGTGTAATTAATGCTGTATGTTTGTCTTCCCTATCCCCACAAATATTGTTAGTCCAACTGTCTCAAGAGTAACTGTAAATCGCTCTGAGCCCACAGGTATGTGGGAAAGAGCGATCAATAAATCAAAAGCATTATTCTTCTTATTATTATTACAGGCATAAAGCCAGTTTACTGCATGGAAGAGTAAGAAATCTTTTCTCTTTCAAGAAGCTCTTTTCATATTAAGTCCTGAGAAACCTTGTCCACTTAAACGAACTCAGAATCCATCCATTTGACCAATGACATGTCTGACCTGAGGACTGGGGTGCTGAACTGGTGAGAGTCTTTGTGTCTAGCTATTCTTTCCAGAGTTCCAAGGATCAACCAGAAGATGGTCATTACTGGGCAACAGAAATCATACTTCTCTTGGACTGAAACAGGCGGACACTGACATAAAAAACAAGGGTCAAGAAGGTCATGGAGATGGGGAAAACGCTGAGGCGCCAGAGCCTCATTACAAGTGTCCTAAAGTTGGATCTCAATCCCACCCTCCAACCACGTAAGCAAAATCTTCCTTCCTTTAATAACTACATGAAAAGCCAGCAGTACAAACATTGCTCTTTTCCTGATAGTACAACTACAAAGCCAACAGAGTTGTAAATACTGTAATTAATCCAGGAGTTTTTCATTAATTGTCTCACATAGTCTATTCAAGATTTACAGGAATGTCTCTTGAATATAATTTTTAAGGGGGAGGGGGAATTAGGTGCTTAACTCATCTAAGCCAAAATAACATACAGCATTAATAAAATGTCTTTTGGGTTTTTCACAAGAAACTGTGAAAACCAGTCCTGTGGGGAAATGCAAAATAAAGAACAGCAATGCTCAGGTTTTGTGCAACAGACATTCATTTAAAAAGGAAAAAAACCCTCCCCACCTATTCAAGGATGTCTTTTCAAATTGTCAGATTAAACAAATCACACAGCATTTGCTGCAAACCCATAATTACACATTATTATAGCATACAAAGGCACCAAGGCACAAAAAGCTGCTGCAATTCTCTACACTTGCAATAGAACATGTAGGGGAAGTTAATTTTGGCAAATACTTTAAATATTAGCTTTGCATAATATGTATAGGTGAAACTGTAATTAGGGCAGAATGAATCCTTCAATGCTTCTTTCATTCTGACCCTGCAGATGATTACTCTTTGCTAATAAGACCTCAGCCATTTGACAAAAAGCCAACTACAGTACCTTGCTTCATTCTTCAGTAAATTTAATAATTACCGCTCCTCCTGCCAATAGTTCTCAAATCAGATTTGTTCAATCCAATACTGAGCTTATTAGAGGACAGCTCTGTGTTCAGAATTCTTTGGCCAAAAAAGTACTTGAGGATGATGAAGCATGCCTTAGACAAGGGCACAATGATTAGCCATTTTCTCCATATAAAAAAAAAACAGCACGGAGTCACTACAGACCACAAAATCACCTGCTGTTAGCACACAGCTGCTACAAAAAGGTTCTGCATTTATCTAGTCCTTAATACCTTTAAGGAAGCCTAAGGGGAACAGCTTAATACAGGAGGAGAATGACACTACACAGAATATTTGGTATCAGTATTAAAGCCCATCTTTTCCAAATTTCTTTCCACCAGGGCCATTTGATATTTACTAAAAGAGAAATGCAGCTCAGAACATCTTGCAACCTTTATTTCACAGTGTTTATTTTCAGAGGAAAAAATATTCCCAATGTGGAGAGGTCTTTGTGAATGTTGTCTTTTAAGATTCAGATGAATTTCTGCGAGAAATAAACATGAAGCAATTTTAAATGACTTCAGAAAACCTTATAAATTCATAGTTTTTAAATTGCTCAAAAATTATTAAAAGTTTATTTTTTTATTTTTTTAAAAAAAAATACTATGACTCAAGTATTCCCTAACTGGTAGCTTGGATAACCATAATGTTTTCATTGAAGTGTTGAAAGGATAAGATAATGTAGCTAAAAACAAAACCTATATATTGTGCTATTTGTTTACTCATGCACAGGAGGCAGATCTATATTAAGATGCACAGAAGGGCAGAAGGATCCATATTAAATTGATTTTTATGTTGTTGAGGAGATACTTAGTTGAGTAAATCGAGTTACAATTGCTCAAAATTGCACTGAATTATTCCACATTGATTAACACTATCTATAGTCTATAATGGTATTAGATGTAATTTAAAATTCATACTTTAGACAAACAATTCAGTATTGGAAAGTGTTACATTATTTGGTCTTAAGGAGGAGTTCATCAAAGCCAACTGACCTTCTGTGACTGGCTGGAGTTTTGAAGACCGTTCTGAATCAGGTGAATGTAATGGCTCTGGTTCCTTCAAACTTTCTAAGTGCATAAAAGGATCATAATCCGAAGATGCCAAATCAGAAAGATTCATAGGAAAATATTTCTGATTGCTAAAGCACTGAGATCCATAGACACATCCATGAAGAACCTACGAACAAACACAAAATTGACTAAAGCCTACAAACACGTGCTAAAGTGTGGGGAAATTGATAGTGGAGCCACAACATGCATATATGCATAGAGTGCTACACCCAATAATATACTGTCCTAAAGTCCCCCCAAAGCATTTCCACATAGGAAATATTTTCCACACAGATGCTGCAAGTCAGCTGTTGATTGGACTCGACTGTGCGACTGAACAACAAAAAAGTACAACAGTGGCTTGCAGTAAACTAGTAGGGTAGACAAGTCCTGAAAAATAGATACTCTGATTATTCTGAGTTTTATACTTAAAAGCCTTACTTGCATGGTTTTTTTTTCCCTTTGGGGCTCCACTTGGGTAGCAGCCAATGCATCTCAAGTAGCAAACTCTATGGCTTTTCCTTAGCCATCTCTACATTGAGATGTTAACTAACATGTAAACATTTAATCTCCAGCTGTTCCTTTGTATTTTAGAGCATTTTGAGTGCTTTAGGTTACCTGGTTTACTGGTGGCCATCAACAATGATTGCAAAGTACAGTTAATTGTTTTCAAAGATCACATAGAACATCAAAACTGTGAGAAAAAATAATTTAGGAAAAAAATGAGGACAAAACAGCTAACATAAAAATTTACATGAAGTAACTTCCAGTGTGGAAGAAGCATTCTCCATAACTTCAACTCATTTTAAAAACAAAGAGGGAAAAATAAATATGTTAAAAAAGTAAGTACCTTATATATGCAATTGAGAACAGATTTTTCTGTTTTATCATTTTCAGATCCTGTGGTGCAAACAGGTTGAAACAGTGTCTTTAAAGGCAAGGCCATTATCCAGTCCAACAAACAGAGAAGCAAAGCTACCACCAGCTGAAATAGAAGAATTCATAATTACAGGTAACTATAAAGAACAGACTGCTCGACTCTGTATTTATTTGCTTAAAATATCTGTATGCTGCCTTTCTGCCCAATTTGAGTCCTCAAGATGGTGAACAATTAAACGCGAATAAAAACCAACTTTTGGAAACAGTACATTAAAGTAAAACTGACAATTAAAAACAAACGGGAAATAGGGCCACCAAGGGTACTCCAGATGAAAGAGAAAAGTTTTTGTCTGCTGGGGGAGGATAATTATTGAGGATGCTAGATGAATTTTCCTGAGGAGGAGAACCCATAATTCTGGTGCCTTTCTTTGTGACTGAGAAGGGCCTTTCTGGGGTTGCCATCTGTCTAGCATCAGATGGAGGGGGGAATCAAAGTAGGGCTTCTGAAGGTAATCCTAATGGTCAGGTAGGCAGCCCTGCCATATTAACCCACCTGACCTCTAGGATCATCTTCAGGTGCCCTTCTTCTTTTATTTAGCCTCAATGGCTAAGAGCCCAATGCTTTTGGTAGTAGAAAGATGAACACCAAGTATACAAGACACGATCTCCCTAAAAGTTAAGCACATTTGAGTTTGAAAGAGTTCAATGGGAGAAGTTAAACCTAGTGGGACCAATATGTGCGGACCAGTGTTCCCTCTGAGCTGAGTTAGTGTAAGCTAGCTTTTGTCTTAGCTCAGGAAGGACGGCTCTAGAGCAAACTAATTTAAGCAGTAGCCGAATTGCTCTCTCACAACTTTAATGCCAGAAGCACACAAAGTAGAGGTTTTGCTCACAAGCCTCCATAGCTTAGAGGGAGCATTGGTGTGGACTGTATCTGTAGTGAACAGCAGCAGAGAGACTAAGGGCCATTACATTCATTTATATTGTTACATAAACATGCAGTAAAAGAGGTATGTGTAGCATCATCCTATGTACCACTACGAACGAACATGTTTTGGGTACTTATGTAGGGATGCTGTCCAGTTTGGAGTGACTCTTAAGACTATGCATATTTTACAGGAATTAAACCTCACTGAATTCATTTGTACTTCTGAAGAAAGAATTGTACTCCAGGTCTCACTGTTATGGATGTCATGGAAACATCAGCATCGAACACCAGAATTTACCCAAATAAAAGGTAATACTTACATTGTAAACTTCTGTTTCTTATAGACAGGAGGGCATTCAGCATAGGGAAAGCGCTATCCTGGGACTGAGATAATGCTAAAACATGGCTGCATTTTCTTGTAACTGATGTTCATGTGCAGGCCTGCTGCAGACATTCTAAATGTTCTCAACAGCTTGAGGCACTTTCCTACGCTTTAGGGGGTTCCCACCAATGGCGCCTATATAAAGGATGGGAGAGCCCCTCCCTCAGTTTTCTGAGACCTCTGCTGGAGAAGAGTGCTTGATGAACATAGATTGTGTACACCAAGTGGGTGCCCTGCAAATGTCCAGCAGAAAGGATCCACTATGGGAAGCAGAGGTGCCTTGACTCTCAAAAGCTTATACCTTGGCAATCTCATTGGTCTTTAAGGTGCAACAAGACTTCAATCTTGTTGCAACAAGGTGCAACAAGACTTCAATCCTCTATCCTCTACCTATGAGGAAGAAAGAATACCACAGACCTTAGCCAAGGGTGTCTTGTTTCCTTAAGGAATGGCAGAGGCTAAGGATCCAGTGGAACAGTCTGTGACATGACAAGTCATATTGATCTGTTTTGATAAAGTTCCTCATCAAAGGCTCCTAAGTAAGCTCAAAAATCATGGGATAGAAGGACAAGTCCTTTTATGGATCAAAAACTGGCTAGTTCATAGAAAACAGAGAGTGAGTGTAGGTGGGCAATTTTCTCAGTGGAGGGTGGTAAGCAGTGGGGTACCACAGGGATCAGTACTTGGTCCACTGCTTTTTAACTGATTTGGAGATGGGAGTAAGCAGTGAAGTGGCTAAATTTGCGGATGATACAAAGTTGTTCAGGGTGGTGAAAACCAGTGAGGATTGTGAGGCACTCCAAGGGGATCTGTCAAGGATGGGCGAGTGGGCGTCAACATGGCAAATGGGGTTCAATGTGGCCAAGTGCAAGGTGATGCACATTGGAGCCAAAAATCCTAAATATAAATACACATTGATGGGGTCTGAACTGGCAGAGACTGATCAAGAGAGAGATCTTGGAGTTTTAGTGGATAACTCACTGAAAATGTCGAGACAGTGTGTGACTGCAATAAAGAAGGCCAATGCTATGCTGGGGATTATTAGGAAGGGTATTGAAAACAGATCAGCCAATATAATAATGCCCCTATATAAATCAATGGTGAGACCTCATTTGGAATACTGTGTGCAGTTCTGGGCACCACACCTTAAAAAGGATATTATAGCTTTGGAAATAGTGCAGAAAAGGGCAACTCGAATGATAAAAGGGTTGGAACACTTTCCCTATGAGGAAAGGTTAAAGCGCTTAGGGCTCTTTAGCTTGGAGAAAAGACGACTGAGGGGTGACATGATCGAGGTTTATAAGATTATGCATGGGAAAGAGCAGGTAAAGAAAGAGGTACTTTTCTCCCTTTCTCACAATACAAGAACTCGAGGGCACTCCATGAAACTGCAGAGCGGTCGGGTTAGAACGGATAAAAGGAAGTACTTCTTCACCCAAAGAGTGATTAACACATGGAATTCACTGCCACAGGAAGTGGTGGGTGCTACAAGCATGGACGGCTTCAAAAGGGAATTAGATAAGCATATGGAGCAGAGGTCCATCAGTGGCTATTAGCCACAAGGTATAGCTAGGGGCTCTGGGGCAAGTGATGCTCTGTCTTGGTGCTTGGGGGGGGGTCAACAGGGGGAGGGCTTCTAATGTCCTGGCCCCACTGCTGGACCTCCTGATGGCACTGGTATTTCTGGCCACTGTGTGACACAGAGTGTTGGACTGGATGGGCCTTTGGCCTGATCCAACATTGGCGTCTCTTATGTTCTTATGTTGCTTAGCCTAATGGCTTCTTCATGTAGCACCTTGGCCAAATCATCCTTTTCATCAGGGATAAATTGGAGCTAAGAGCCTATATTCTCCCAAAGGAAGAGCTGGTATGTTCCCATTTTGATTTCATAACTGGCAATTCTAAAGGACAGGGCAGAGGAGGCATACAGTTTACATTAGGAATGGGCACGAACCAGTAAAATGGAGGTTCATCCCGGTTCATGAGGTCCCATGAACCACAAACCGGGACGAACCTCACCCCTTTGTGAACTGGTTTGGTTTGTGAGGTTCGTGGATCTTCCCTCCCTCCTTTCTGCTGGTGGGGGCTCCCCAAGACCAGCAGAATGGAAGGGGGGAAGATCTTGTAAAAGCCATTTAAAGGGAATGTTCTCTCTAAATGGCTTCTGCAAGCGGGCGCTGTGTATGAGTGAAGTCCAAGCGGCGAGTTCACCACTTCGGGTGAACTCACAGTTTGGACTTTACATAGCCACAGTGCTTGCTTGAAAAAGCAATTTAAAGGGAACATTCCCTTTAAATGGCTTTTGCAAACCATCAGCAATCCCTTTCACTCCCCCCCCCCAATTTGGAAGCTGAAATTGCTGAAATTGTTCCAACTGGGAAGGCATTTAAATGCCTTTTCAGTTCATTTGTGAGTCGCACCACTGCTGCCACAGGACAACTTGCAAAAACCATTTAAAGGTCTCTTTAAATGACCATTTAAAGGTCTCTTTAAATGACTTCTCTAAGCCCTTCTGCTGGCGCCAGTGTGTCTACCAACCACGAACCACCTGGTTGGTTTGTGGGGGCTTGTGAGGGCGGGATGGCATGAATCAAGGTTCGCGAACTGCAAACCGGACCTGGTTTGTGATGAACTTCGGTTCATGGCCATCCCTAGTTTACACCTCTAAATATCAACCCTTCTGCTTTCTTTATCTAATGGAGCATTATGGGCTGAACTCTTCTGGGTACCCTTCCCCTGGAGGGCCTCTGTTATCAGAGAAATGACTCGGGGGGGGGGGGAGTGAAGAGAAAAGCCACAGTCTCCTGCCTTGTCTTATACATAGTCTCTAACTTTCTGGACGACACTGAAGTAGAGGCAGGTTTGACCCAGATTTTTGCAGTGACATCCAACATGCCTTGCATTACTGGAAAGGCTACAAGACAAACCATTTCAGAGTGAAAGGCCTTATAGAAGAAGAAGAAGACGAGGATTGGATTTATATCCCGCCCTTCACTCTCAGAGTCTCAGAGCAGCTCACAAACTCCTTTCCCACCCCCTCCCCACAACAGACACCCTGTGAGTGAGGTATGCGAGGCTGAGAGAGCACTTCCAATAACTGTCCGTGAGAGAACCGCTCTGACAGAACTATGGCTTGCCCAAGGTCATCCAGTAGCTGCAAGTGGAGGAGTGGAGAATTTCTCAGATTAGAGTGAACACACTTAACCACTACACCTAACTGGCTTTCTGACTGGGTCAGTCACATGAGGGGCAGAGAAGGTAACTTCTATTTCCAGGGATTTGGCCATGAACCCTACTTGTTTCATGTATAAGCAGAGATCTTCACTTGTGAAGGGGACAGAAGCTTCTGCTACCACATCAGAGGGAGAGGGATTCTATGCAGTCTCTGAGTCAGAATCCTGGTCCTGAGACATGGACCCAGGATTGTGTCTTGATGTTCTGTGGAGTTGTCAGGCTTGCTTTGAGAGCAAGGTGGTGGCTGAAAGCCTGAAGGACCTGGTTTAGAGTTGGGTGCCCCTTAGGGACAGTATTCATAGAATAATAGTAAGGATGGGGGGGTAGTGACTCAGAAACATTGACATGGAGAGACTTAACAGGAGTATCGGCTCCGTGGTCAATAACAATAACCCTATTTAGTCCTGAGGATATGGCTGAGCAGAATTAAATTTGGCCTGGCCTTCGAATCTGGTTCTAACACAGACCTGAAAACTAGTGTTAAGAGGCAACAGAGAAATAAACGTGGAAGGTACCTCCTGATCTAGGATCTCCCCCTCCGAGATAGAGAGAAGGAACTGATGCCTGGAGTGAGGTGTAAGGGAGGGAATCTTTGGAACCAGGGCCAGTTCTGATGGTCTCCTCAGAACCAAGGGTTACACTAAGACTTTGATGACTAAGACTAAGATGGTCTAAGTGCTTGGCTTTAGGATTTTGCTTTTTTTTTGGGTGGGAGGCTCTAAAGAGATGGGTGACGTCTTGGAGTAGAGTCTGGAGCTGACAGAACTAAGGCAGGGATTGTGTTTGTACTACAAACAGGATTATCAGCTGAGGGAAGATGGCATGAATGCCAAATCAGGAGTAACACTGCAGGGAAAATATGCTTTTCCCCTTATCCACTCCTTTCCATGAATGTTTGGGGAGGGCCTAGGTTTCTTCTGGCTCTCAAATAATGAAGGCCTCATTCCACAGCATAAAGATCAGGATGACAGTTCTCTCTACTGAGTACTGGGAGAGGGGAAGGGAAACTCTCACCAAGCTAGGGGCATGGAAAATCCTCTTTTCTCCTGTCAGGTGAAGTCATCCTAGCTGTTTCCTGCTATGTAATCCTGATGCATGAGAGCAAATGCCAAAGGACAGTGTCTTGCCAGATTCTATGGTGCTATTTCTATGGTGCAATGTCTTCCACAGGGTCAGGTTTCACTGTCCTAATCATCTAGATCTAGTCTGTTGAACAACATGGGGGTAGATTGGCAAATGGCCACCTGGGCTCCAGACTAGGTCATCAGAAATGAGGGGAAGGGAGGAAAAAGGCTTCCTTCTGAGATAAGCCCTGAAGTCCTTATTTTTTCCTCATGATCTTCTATTTCTGTTTTTCTCTTTGTTTTCATTTTATTATTTAGGTTTCTTATGCTTTTGTCAACTCTGCAAGGAACAAAAAGGCAGGAAGATGACTGGGGGAGTCTAGAAAGAGGTCCTGCTACTCAAGAAGTGCTTGTTAGCTCTGGCTATCAGTCCCAGAAACAGTACCTTCCCCAAACTGGATGCCTCCCTGCCTAGCGAATGCTAGTTCTCATGACACAGCTATTATATGATAAAAGGTTAAGTCATTCATTGGGATGATTTATGCAAGGAACTCAAATGGCTTACCCATGTGACTTGATCACAACTAGACAGTTCCAAGCTGCCTCCACATGGCAATCATACCACAAAAACACCTCTTAGTTACCACCTTACCTTTAAGGCTTGGTGCTGCTACACTTGAACCTCTTCCCATACCGCCCAGACAAATCTTAAAATTTGCCCCCCCCCCAATGCAAAGGTGAGGTAGTTGGTGACCAGAAAAACTTTGGTCACACTTCTACTTGAATGCCTTCTCCCTTGAGGCTCACCTAGTGCCTCCTTTATGGATTTTTTAGGTACTAGGCAAAAATGTTTTTCTTTAAGTGGCTTTTAACTAGAGGCATCCATATATTTTTAGCCATTTTAATTATCTGCTTCTAGCCTGAGCAGCTAACTTTTAAAAATATCAACAATGTCATGCCTTAAAAAAATTTAACTTCACTGTATTTGTTCTTCTACTTTGTGAACCATCTAGAGCAGGCCTCTGGAGAAGCAGCAATTAAAATGGCTAAATCACAATTATGAAGAGGTTCTGTCTAGGGTTGCCAGGCTCCCATTGGAGATTGGGTAATCCCCTGCTGTGGGACCCCTCCCCCAGTGCGATTAACTGGCTGGCAGGTGACTTACCAGCAGCAAAAAGAGGCTTAGGCCTGCATTGCCAGCAACACAGAGATGTCACTTACGGCATGCACTGGAAGTGATGCCATGTCGCTGGTGCAGGAACACTCTTATTATTTGGGCAAAAACTCCGTGGTAAAAATTCTACTGTTGAATTTTTGCTCAAATACTACAGTGTCACCATGTCACCAGAAGTGATGTCACTGCACTGCTGGCAACCTCAGCCTAGGCTTCTCTTTACTTCCAATAAGTCCCCACCCCAGTTGCAGGGAGTACCTGGCAAGTGGCAACTCTATTCTGTTCCCAAACAGGGCCATTATGCAATAGCCAGTTTGCAGGGGCCCTTAGTGGTTTAACAGCAATGGCAGTATACCACTCATATAAGACGAAACTACATAAAAGCCTACCAGACATTATTTGTGGCTTGAAAATACTAGTCACAAGTTGTGATTAAAGTATTCATCTTAGGTAGAAACCGACAAATTGCCATAGGATGTCAGGAAACAAAAACAACACTGAAATAAATGTGAAGCAGAAGTGCAAGCTGCAGTATTAAGACATAAGAGAAATTTAAACGTCAACTTTCATTACACCACCACTCTGCGCCTCCTTAACTTTACGTTACAACAATACGTACACATGGTTATATAATCAAAACATTGTATTACCCTCTTGTCCTGTTCATAAGAAGAAGCTTCGGTACTGGGCAAAAGATGAGTGATAGTTGCTACCAGGATCTGTGGACAATAAACATTTTCTTTAAAATTTCTACTAGTTTTTGAAGTTTAAAAAATTAATTGACATACTGTATTTTGCTTTACCTGCCTTTTAAGCAATATGGTATTAATTCATTTGTATACTGACAGACAGAAACTGCTCTCCTACCTATCTTTACTTTTGATTTGATGGGGACAAAGAAAATGCTATCAATAGGAGGATCCATGATAACCACCAATGCAATTAGTTCTTTTTATCCATCCCTTACAGGTTAATTAATTAGTATAAATATGTTATTTTGTCAATGCAGTAATTACTCAGCATGGTTAGCATAGACAAAACAACTATTTCTTTCCTATTCTACCTGCTGACCAATCCAGCACCATCTGTCAAGTAAGTTCAACAATTTTAAACCCCCTGACATCTTTTGATGCAATTCTGAAGCTGAGCATGACTCAGGACCATAGTCTTGACTCAGAACAGTCCTCTTGATTTCATTTGAACTTCTTTGAATTTATTTCAGATCTCATTTTAGTTGCCGCCACTGCCTGTATCAAAGTCTGCTTTGTTCCACTGAAAAATATTACAGCTACCATGACCAAAGGCATCCCTGTATAAGGCTATTAAGTAGAGCAGAAAAGAAATTCCAGCTATACACTGGATATTATGCAATGATCTGCTTACAAAGCAGTTGCCCCACACAGTAGCTAAAGTTCCACAAAGCCATCATGTGCCCTATCTTTGCTATACTCTTATGTGGAACCAGGGTGCAAATATTGTACTAGGTGGAGCAGAGAATTTGGTTTGGGCCATATTACTTAGAATCTATTCAAGTTTCCTCAGAATGAAATTTACATTATTAGGAGTCAAAGTAGTCATGGGTTAAAATTTGCAGTGAGCATACAGGAGAAAAAAAGAACAACCAAGATGCCAAAGAGTTGTAAGAAAAACTGTATCCAAACACACAAAAGTAAATAAAAGTGTATTGTTTATGATCATTTATATGCTAATGCCAGAATCCTCAAAGACTAAACCAAACTGCGGTACTTGGTACAGGAAGATAAAATGAATGCAGTGGAACAGCAAGAACTGATTATCCCTGAATATAAATTCCATAAAATAAACAAGTACAGGGAGGGAGTAGTGGTTGTATGTCAAAAAGGGCAAAAAAAGACTGTCACAGAAACAGTCTTTATGAGCGAAATTTTTAAAGTCTGGTTATTAAACTTGTCTACAGTCCAAGACCCTCCCCTCTGCCAGGAAGCTGTATGGTGAGGACTGTGTGGGTGTATGGACAGTTTTCTGCTGGAAATTTTTATTCTAGCTGAGGTTATTCTAGCCGAGGTTTTAATACTCTAATTTGAATCCCCTTTGTGATTAGCCACTGTGTCCTCGGCTAAATGTATTTTTCTGACTATCCTGACTGACAATTTTTATACCGCTCTGGTTTTTGGACATAAGACTTGATTCTATTGCCTGTACATATTCAGCTCTAAAATGTGCATCTGAGACGGTGCTAGCCAATTTAAGTTCCTGTTGCTTGCTGGTGTTTCTCCTTCTGGAACATGCAGCTGACTCCAGTTTGAAGCGGCCTGACCAAAGACTGCCTGAAGTCCATGTAAGTTTTGAGGGACCTTCCCCCTACCTCCCTAATCAGACAGTTAAAGAAAAAGCTCTTGATCTGGTATTATATACTTTATACCTTTTACAATTTTTAGATGTTGTCTGCTTTGTAGATTCTGAATAACTTTCGGATTACAATATAATGTACTGGGGATCTTTCATACCCCACCTACCTTATTGACTCATGTATATCAGATTTGCTTCCCTGATAAACATTTGGGTTCTTTTGTTCCTTCTACAGGAAGCTTGAAGCAAGGAGTTGTGGCTGTTTATACAGCCAAACTGACAGTTCTCCAAGTTTCTTTTTTTCTTGAGGGGGGAATGCGATGGGGTAGAGTGAGACCTGGATGGCCCAGGCTACCATGATCTTGTCAGATCTAGGAAATTAAGTATAATTGGCCCTGATTAGTTCTTGGATGGGAAACCACCAAGGAAGTCCAGGGTTGCTACGCAGAGGCAGGCAATAGGAACCCACCTCAGCTGATCTCTTGCCTTGAAAACCCTATGGGACATCATAACTTGACAGCACTTTCCACCACTACGGAAAAGGAACACGCTCCTTCATAAAAATACCATGGGTGGAAATACCAGTCCCATAAGATAATTTCAGTGGAAGTCCAAGTACCTCAAGTGGCTGCTACTCTGCAAGGACTCCAAAACCTGAGGGTTTTTATCAGGGCACAAGACTCTAGTGCTGGAAGGGGGGGGATATGGAACACTATGCATGGAACTTTGGATCCTGGCTACTGTTAAGAGGAGGAACCACCCTTAACATTTTCTTATAAATTCTCTAATACAACAAACCAGAATTAGAACTGCCTCAAGAAATAACAGAGTGCTTTGAACTCTGCTGAAAATCAGCTTTCACTAAACAATCAAGTCTCCCAGCCTCAGTTTTCCTGTTAACTTATAGTTTCCCTTAAAATGGAAGTACTAATTGAAAACGTCTATGTTTTGTTGCATTAGGCAGTTTTTGTTTATGTTATTTTCTGGTTGCTATAATCTTGGTTCTACTGCATAGTTTTATTGGAGGCTGTGGTGGCTATGGGGGAAGGCTTTAAGGCAACAGCCTTCTGAACCAAAGAATATCCAATTCGCCACCCTGGCCTCTCCTATAGATTCTTTATACTCCAGCTATCCACAATCAAATTAAAAAGGGGGACACAAGCTTTAAAATAAAGATTGGTAGCGTGTAAGCTACGTGATCCCTAAAGGACTCTTATGTGCAAACCTGCTAGACTAAGGCTGTATTTATATGTGAGGTAAATTGAGACCACTGCTTCTTAGATTTTTTACTTGACAGAAAAGACACAGATGGAGATGAGTGACATTAGCATGTGTAGTGAGATAAGAAACCGATATCTCTGTTAAGCCCTGGGGTGGGTTGGGTTCCATTGTCTTAAGTGATGTAATAACTTGCAACTTAGCATTCTCCTGTTCACTGAAAAATTATAATCAAAGCATTTGTCAGTTGGGCTTGAGTCTCAAAATTATAACTTAGACTCTGAGAAAAGTTCCATACATAAAGGGAGGGCAATTTGCACTGATTTTCCTTTTCCCATGGCAAACCTTTGAATGCTGCCATATGCTGTTTGGGGGAGGGGGTACCTCTTGTGCCCCAGGAACAGCATTCAGCATTTTCAAAAGCACTCAGGGCTGCAGTAGGAGAGGGGAAGGGGAGAATTCCACTGCACTGAGAGAAGTCCCTTCTGTTAGCAGAGATTTTGCCTAGGATCCAACCCTATATCTCAAAATCTGTAAGGAACACAGTTACCTTGCTGCTTGGAAAATAATATTTTTTTATATTTTTAAGAGAGGAATTAATAAAAATTAAATTAAAACATTCCTTTATCTTTTCACTTACCTGGATATTTTTAAATAATCTTTTTATTGGGTTTTATAACAATTTGAAACAAACATGTATATTGTATATATACTTACCTGAATAATTTTTAATGGTGAATCAGCTTGGTACTTCTGTAGCCTGTGTACATAATGAATCAGCATATTAAGCATATTGCAAGCAACATATGCAACCGTTTTATTTGGAAACTGAAAAAGAAAACAGAAATAATATTAAAAGTAATACAACGATTTCAATATTATGACACATTTTATGGAGCAAACAAACAACTCATTAGTATTACATATTCAGAGGGAAATTAGACACTCAAAGTGTAAAGCAGTCAAGTACAAGACTAATGCTCTAATTTGAACGGCTTTGAAATTGATTATTTCATTTAAGCCTAAGAATTACACAGAGAAACATCCAAGCAAAGAAGAACAGAGCCAGTTATCATAGGAGGCAAGCAAAAAAAGAGATGCAATTTGTAAGGACTGTATGCAAGCAAAATACAGACATATTTATCTGGATGAACATACTTATTTGCACTCAATTCATCACTATTAGCAGTTCCCCCAAAACACCAAATTGTACAATCTGTGATTACATGCAAACCACAGCTGTCCTTAAACCAGGAGCAAATGTTGAAAATCAAAATATTTAAAATAAGATGGGGTCTAAAACCAAACTTACAGTATTAAATTCACAAGCCCTAACACATTTTGGCCGAGTTCAGACTGGCAGTTTGCCCCAATATAGGTACGAGCCAGAAACGTCTCACAAACAGATTAAAGGGGCCGTTCACACAGACACATCTGTCAGCTGTTCCCCAGACATACTCAACCTGTCTTGTAACGCTTCCTTCCTGAGTTAAAAGCTACCAGGTGAAAGTGGTATCAAACCCTGGAAAGTGTGATTATCTTGCGTCCATCCCGCTTCCTTGAAGTATGAATGCGAAAAGTCACAATCCGGGATGCGCTTATGCACATGAGCGCATAAGCGCACATAACCGGATTACCAGAAAAAGCCACTTATAGCCGTGCCTCCGGGCCAACAGTGTGAACGCTCCCTTGCGTCTCCTCCCGCATGCTCCCGTATGCTCCCGCATCAGTCGGTGCAGTGTGACCGAGAACACCCGGAACAGTTTGTTCCAGGTCTTTTTTGCCACGACTCCCTCCCGCTTCAAACTGCCAGTCTGAACTCAGCCTTTACGTGTGTAAATCTAAATACAGAAAACATACAGGGTTGGAGTGGAAGAAGACTTCTTCCTTCGTGGAAGAAAGCCAATGGAGCCAACTCAATAGGTCTAGGGGCCAGTTCATACAATAGGAACTAAATATCTGATATATCACTTTTTTACAGTCTTTGCAATTGAGGGGATTGCAGTTATCCATATCTAGGATATACCATTTAATATAAATCATGTTTTGGCTTGCACAGGCATAAAAACACATTTTGTGAACCAGCCCTCATTCTTCTATGGTTCACTGAAAGCTGTAGAACAACTGAAGCAGATATTTACTCTGATGCACATTTTTATCTAAAAAGTTGCTGTATTCTAAAAAAAATATTTAGAAAACGGTAACATTGACTGGTTTAACATTGGAGAAATTTTAACAAAGCAAAAACATAAACTAACTCCTTCTAGCAGCAAAAGAATAACTGGCATTGCATGCCTAAGACTGAAGCGCTTGTCATAACAACAAAGCTTTTTTTGATCTGCCAAAGGATGCTGAGGAAGTAGTAAAAGACAAATACAGCAGGCAAAATGTACAATGTCTGCTTAAGGGCTTGGGTAGCATCCAAGATATTATGATGAACATCAAAGAAAAATTCAGACACTCAAACAACATGTCTGCAGGACCCAAAATCAAACGCAGATAGCTAGAGGTGTCCTTCGAAAACTGGCTCTATAAGAAAACAGACTCTACATGAGACAGACAATAGGTGAAGAAGCTGGAAATGTTCATCTGACAATGGCCCATTGTTGGGCTTAAGGGTAAATACCACAAATATGAACTTGGCAAGCAGCATTAGGTACCCAGACTGCCAGCAATTCAATGCCATCAATTTGAAGACAGGGGAGAACGTTTTATGACACAGGAAGCTCAAGTGGCTATCAGAAGCAAATGTCTTTTCCAGTTGAAAAAAACAAATGGAAAATGTTTTGTTTCAAGTGGAAAAGACATTTAGTAAGTTATTTGTCAGCCCTGAAATGCATACCTACTCTTTATCAAAAAACAGTCAACAACATTCAGTGCAAATACTAAGTAAGCTTTCCATGCTGTCCTTAATGAGTCACTTACATGGCTAACAATTTAACAATTCTTGTTTACATAAAACAGGCATAAAATGATTATGAGTATATACTAAAAGTGGGTAAGTAAATATGACAGGCTTCCTTTCATTTACATTAGGCCCAAAAACTCTGCTCTTTTCCGGACATAGCTGATCTGGCCACACTGATCCATGCTACTGTAACCTTGAGGCTAGATTATTGTAATGTGCTCTATGTGGGGCTGTCAGACAACTCACAGGACAGCAATATTAAATGACCTGCACTGTTACCAGTTTTGAAATTCAAATCCCTTGATGGTCTGGGTCCCACATACTGGCAGGACTGCCTCTCCCCAGTTAAGCCTGGACAGACCTAAGGATCTCCCCAACAAGGTTGACTTTCTGTTTCCCCACCTATCCCCCCAAAAAAAGGGGGATGAGAACATAAGAACATAAGAGACACCAATGTTGGATCAGGCCAAAGGCCCATCCAGTCCAACACTCTGTGTCACACAGTGGCCAGAAATACCAGTGTCATCAGGAGGTCCACCAGTGGGGCCAGGACATTAGAAGCCCTCCCACTGTTGACCCCCC